ATAAAAAAATATAATTTTTATATAATAATAATAATAATGCTAGCTTGGTGATATATAAGTTACATATTTTCAAATAAAGAGTTTGAAATATTTCTGTTTTCAGGCTGGCAGAGAAAATCCTACAGTATCATTATGGGTTGCAGATCTCAGGAATACTAATAAAATTATACCAAGAGATGTGAAGCCACCACGTGAAGTCCAAGACCAGTTAGTGCATGTGTGGTTTGTGGTCAGAAGCCTTGTGCTTAATTTTGTCAGTCCTTTAAACTTCTTCTTAATAATTTCTTCTTAACAACAATAAAATTTACATCATTATTTGAAAGAATAGAAATCATCCTTTTTTTCTGGTTTAAAAAAATATATGTATAATACTAAACCAAAAATATTTGTTCAAAATTGTTGTAATATATAAGTTTTAGTCTGTTCAATATTCATTCATAGTAGTATAAACTATTGTATTCATTGTTGACATACAGAAAAATTTTACTTTGGAAAAAAATATACAATTGTAATATTAACAATCAGAAATACAGAGTATCTCAGGAGAAATATATATACATACAAAAATATTCAAATATTCAAACAAATCAATTTTCTGTAAACAAACCATATTTCTATTTTATTTTTTTTTTAATTTTTATAAAAAAATCTGTTTATATGTAGAACTGGAAGCAGAAAATTTTTCAGTGTAAATAATTTGAAAGGAAATATTAAAATATATAAAAGAGAGAGCTTTTAAAGAATTTGAATTAGAGCATGTTTGAATTATTGCATGCTTTAAAGTGACAATATTAAAACATTTTTAAAAATTAAATTTTCTTTGTTTCTTATTTTTTGCTTGCATTATTAAATTTGTAAATAAATACATTTTAAAATATTGATTATTGTAAATTAATTTTTTTGTTGCTATTTTAGAATCATGATACATGACATTTATTTTTCTGTTTAGGGACCATTACTTTACTACTGTTACATGGATTGATAGTCAGTCATTAGCAGTTGTATGGATGACAAGATCACAGAATTATTCTTTATTCACATTATGTACTGGAACTCTCTGGTATTGTAGTGTTGTAAGTATTATAAATTAAAAATAATGTTTTATATTTCTGAACATTCTTACAAATTTATTAAATGAATATAATATACACATAACAAAATGAGTTAATTTCATTTATTCATAAATTCTGAAAACTTTAATCAGATAGCTATTTAAATATTTCCATAAATTTAACTAGAATTAATGAAAGATGAGTAAAAGGTAGATTGAATAAATGCAAATTGATATGATAATACATCACCATCTTTCTTATAGTACAGGTCCTTATTATATTAAGATTTGTATAAAAATAAAAATAATAATAATAATAATTAATGGATATTATTATGGATTTCTAGATATTATCATTTTACAAATCTTAGTTTGTTCCACTGGATAACTTAACTCTATTTGATATTTTAATGTTAAATATGCTCTCATTGATGCTGTCTGCTGTCTTTATTTGATTTATTTATATAGTTATTTCACACTTCTTGAATTTAAGGATACTTTTATACATTATATTCATATTGTGTAAAAAATAGTAATGATATAAGTATAAGAATTTATTTTGTTTTTCATTTATGCCTTAATATTATATATATTATCATTTATATCTACTTAAATAAATTTCATAATTTTCTCACAAATTCCATGCATCTTACTCTGCTGATGTATTATTTATTTTTGTTTATTATCAACTGATTTCCAAAATGAGTTTAATGAATAATTTCTATAATTCATTGATCACTAAACACTACTATATTTTGCTTAAAAAGTTACAAAATTTTATTAGAATATGTGATATTAATGTTTATCTTTTTATCAATTTTTATTTTAAAAACATTCATTTCTTGTTATTATTATTATTATATCTAGGAAATTTATTTGTATAAGTTCTCTTTTTTTTAATTAAGATTTAATATTCAAGTAATTATATTTTTTTAAACTGCTTTCTCATGAGTCATTGTCATAGCATTCTGAAATAATGCATGCCTGTTAGTTTATATGAATCAGCAAAATGTAAATAATGTAGGTATAATCTATGATGGGGATGATATATTAGCAATAAGTAGTAATAAATATAGAAGAAAAATAACTGCAAAGTTTGTTTTACTGAAATTTATGATAGACATATACAATGTGATACTTGAAAAATATAGAAATCTGTTTTGAAGATACACTTGAAAAATTTAGATAAAATATTTGTGAATGGATAACAAATACATTAATGTATATATGATGTGATTTTATTCAGTATTATAGTGCCATATACAAACATAGCTCTCATTCTGTTGAAGGCAGTTCTTTTTGAACTTCAAGAGCTGTGAGATATTATATATTTTTAATTGAATTGAGATCTGATGAATTTTCAGTCCAATTCAGTACTTGATTCCCAGTTCTGAGAACATCCTTTGCATCTGAAAGATCAAAATGTCAGTAATAATATAGTATTTTAAAGGTAGTGAATACTATCGAAACCATAAATGTACACTTACCTGTCTAGATGTGTGACAAGATCTTGTGGAAATTGTATGGCTCCAATTCGAATGCATCTCTGACTGTGTTGACAACATAATGTCTAATACTGATACTATCTACAAATTCATTGTGTTATCTACAAAAAACCTTTCATTGTGATTGCAAATGATTGAATTCCAAACCATTAATGAAAGAGCATATTCTTTGAATCTTATGAGACATTCTGAGTAATATTTATCATCCACTTTGCAATGTATCAGTTTGGCTGGTCACTGGATAATGAAACACTGTTCTCATCTGAAAATATGGCATACTACCATTGTTCCATTGTTCAATTGCAATTATTTTTGGTCCATACCCCAATTTTGATTTTTTCATTCTGGGTATTAGTAATGGTTTCTTTTCATTCTTATGTGCAAAAATTACTGCTTCACAAAGCTTCTTATGAACAACACATGAACTTGTAACCATTCTTGTTGATGTCTTCTACTCCATTTTTAAATCCTGAGATGTAGTAAATCATTTTTGGCTCAAATGGCAAAAAATATTTGGAAAATGTGTGGCCATGAAGCTTTTCAATGTTATGAATAACAGTGAAACTGGAACAGTTCAGGCCCTGAGTAATTCAGATTTTCCTTGTGTTAAACTTTAATATATTTCTTCTTTTTAGGGTATCAACTCATAAGTTTTTGGCATACTGCATAATTAAATTGTCAATATAATATTTACAAGTTTGAACAGTACATAGCAGTAGCTAACATCAAAAAAAGCAGTTTGCTATTTGTCTTTCATTTAAGTCAGCAGATGATATAAATGTACAACATGAATGATGATCCAATTCTTGTTCAACATTTCATAACTACTACTTAAGTTATTATACTCATTAACATTAGATTTAGCAAAAACATGCATTTGCAGTAGGTATGTAATATAGAACATCAATGTATTACATATAAATTCTAAAAACAAACTTTTCATAATTATCCATGTCATCTCCATAATTTATGAGTAATCTGCTTATAACAATTTAAAGTTACTATCATTATAAAAGTAAGAAAATTCTATTACAATTCAAATTTTTTGTTATGCCTATCAACAGGAAATTGTTAAACTTTGTGCTGTAATACATGTTAATCAATTTAATGGAAAATTAGTTGAGAATAGTTTTATGAATCAAGAGATATGAGTTCTAATAGCTAATGATATAAATTTTTATTTAATTTTTTATTACTATATTAAAATATTAATAAAATTAGTTTTTAATGATTGAAATATTTTAGTAAATAGCTATGTAAACTATATACAAATGGAAAGATCCTTTCAATTGATTCAAGGAAATTATATAACTATTAGCTTTAAATATTTTTCTAATCAATTCCATTTTCAGAAAGTTATCATTATTATTTAAACAATATTACTATATGTATATATAATTATTACTGTATATAGTAAGAAAAAGGAATTGTTTTATAAAATATTTTAAAAAGCCTAATAAGTCTCAAATAATATATTATACAAACACTTCTAACGTTATTAAAATAGTAAAGATCATACAGTGAGTAATATATTAGAATATTATTTTGTGAATTTATATAAAAACAGTCTAATCAATTATGTAATCAAATATAGGGTGTTTTTTTTTAGAGGTATACAAATTTAAAATGAAATAAAACACGTAAAAATAATGTTAATGGCCATGGTGTTGGCTTTATTTAAAAGATAATTTTATGCCATTAGTGTTTAAACATGATTTCGGTCATATGGGTGCCATGGCTGGCTCAAATGAAGCATAATCAGGAAGAACAATTTTCTACCACTTTATCGAGCAACTGGGGCCGGACATTGGCAATAACACAGCAAATGTTGAGTAACTTACATTCATTAAAAGTCACTGTTTGGTGTGCTTTATGAGCAGGTGGAATCATAGGCCCAAATTTCCCTATATATAGATGATGCCGGCCAGAATGTTACCATCAATGGAGAGTGCTTTTGGAGCCATGATTGCTGACTTCTTCATTCCTCAGTTGAATGGTATTGATGTGGCAGAGCTTTGGTTTCAACAAGATAGCACAACATGCCACACAGCGTGCGACACCATCAATTTATTGCAGGAAACATTTGATGAGCACATAATTTTGTGTAATGGACCTGTGAACAGGCCTCCACGATCATGTGATCTCTCACCTATGGATTAATTTCTTTGAGGATATGTGAAGTTACTAGTCTACACCGATAAACCACAGACGTTGGACCACTTGGAAGTCAATATTCGCCGTGTTATTGCCGATTTATGGCCCCAGTTGCTCGATAAAGTGGTCGAAAATTGTTCTTCCTGATTGTGCTTCATTCGAGCCAGCCATGGCACCCATATGCCCAAAATCATGTTTAAACACTAATGGCATAAAATTATCTTTTAAATAAAGCCAACACCATGGCCATTAACATTATTTTTATGTGTTTTATTTCATTTTAAATTTGTATACCTCTAAAATTACCCCTGTGTAAATATATTAGATCAAGAGTTAGTGACATTAGGTATTTAACTTTGAAGAAATTAAAAAATAACCGAAGCAAAGTCTAAGTGCACTATAGGAGAATGGATATAATAACAGAATTGATATTTTCAATTTTAATTTAAATTCTAATCTGAAGAATTATGAATTCAGCTATCTAAAAATTGGACCAAAAGCTGTTCTTATTCTTTTACAAATTTACCTATAATGCTTCCCTTTGTTCAATAAATTGCTTAAGTAATTTAATTCAGTATATCTTCAATTATGAAATTATTAACAGATTAACAAATCATTGCTATCGTGGAATTTCGTAGTCTTTGTTTTCATGTTGCTAATTTTCAGCCCTGTCTGCAATGTTTAGTAACACAGAGTATTTGTTTTTCCACATATTTTTGTAGTTATTAACAATTAAACAAGTATTATCTGCATAATTCAGATTATTTAAATATTCTGACAGCTGTGGTCTTGTGTTTTTTTTATTAGCCAATCAATAGCAGTAATAAACAAAGGAAAAAAATATATCCTTTTATCTAACACCTGTTTATTGCTTTGTTTTATAAAAATATGTTAGATAAGGTGATGTTTTTAAAATTGTTTAAAAATGTTTTATTATTATAAAAGTTAATAGTTTTTCAAATTTTTCTGTGCAGTCATTCTGAATCATGACATGTATAATGATTCAAAGTGATTCTTGATGTATTGAATTGAAGTTCTTTAAAAATCAATAAATTTAAAAATAATGTTCTCCTATATTCTTCACATTGTTCTGTTAGGTTCTTTGTACATAAATCACATTTTTATAATAATCTGTTGATTCCAAATCCTATCCATTCCTCATGTATGTATTCTATCAATTGTTTGCTTCTCTGATTCTTTTGAATATACTGTAGTAGCTCTAAAAAATTTTTCAAGTATAGAATTTATTTCTCTAATTTCCAGAGAGAATTTTTTTCTTAGGAAATACTATTATAATAACTTTTCTTTAATCTTGGAGGTATGCACCCATTCTTCATTCTTAATTTTTCCTAATAATGCTTGA